GTTGGGGGGGGGGGGCAAACACCAGTTCATGCGCTTTTATGTGATAGGCCCAACAAACAAGCTCATGAGGGTTCCATCCTAAATCTAATTGGCAATAAGAGAAGAGGGTATAGAACTTATATATTGGGTACTTTGTTGTTTCTTTTTTGATGTGAGAAGAATTTTTTTTTGTCAATTGCACTTGAAGTTTTTTTCATGCCTTGTGGCCGGTCAGTCTAATAGATGAACTATTCAAACCCAGACCAAACTTGCTTTCATACTATGTTAAGGAATCGACTCAAGCAAAAACTCAATCTTGTGTTTGTGACCGAGGAAATATTTTTGTATATTCTAACACATATACGTAGTAGAGTTTTGTTTACTATTCTAACAAAATTATAGGCCGGTCAGTGGGCTTGAGCATTAAAGCCGACTCTAGCCTTATAGTATACGGACTGTTTATAAAGCTTGAGTCTGACGTGTACCCTAAAATGTCAAGTCCAAACACGTTCTTTGTGGGTAGGCTTTTGCGAGTGGACTAAGTACCCAGACCCATGGTCGTGTTTGAGTTATAGGGTAATCAATGAATGCCCAAAACAAAAAAATGGCATGGGGGAAAAATTGGCTCTTGGTTTATACTCCCTCCGTCCCACTCTCTTTGTCCACTTACCTTTTGGCACACCATCCAATGCACTTTTTTAATCCATTTTATCTTGTAATTTGTATATTAAAAAATTATAGAAATTATATATTAATAATCTATATGTTAAGACAAATCAAACAAGATTACACATGACTATATTTAGGCTTACACATTGAGAGAATTTGATGAGTCAAAGTGCTTAGATGAACAGTTCCAAAAGTCAAAAGTGGACAAAGAGAGTGGGACGGAGGTAGTATATGTCCCCCGATCAATTTTAAAAGTATTGCTCTTGTTCACAGTGTATTATTTTTATCACAAATTAAATATCTATTTAAATAAATAATATCATAGTGATAAGTCGGTTGTGTGTTACTCCCTCCGTCCCAATTTAAATCGCCTGTTTAGACTTTTGGGCATATTTAAGGAAAATGAAAAATAGAGTTGATTTTTCGAAATTGACATTACTTTTTAAGAGGGGTGATGATGAATGAGAAGATAAGGTGAAGAAGTGAGACTTATTTTAGGGGTAGTTTAAGTATTTTATTTTTAAAAGTTTACGAAAACAACTAACAGGCAACTTATTTTGGGACAGAGAAAAAAGGCAAACAGGCAATTTAAAATGGGACGGAGGGAGTAGTTCTTTTTATTCTTTTTTATACATTTTTAAAACTTTTAGAGTTAAATTTTTAGTTGTTTATCTTAGTTTTATTTTAATTCTTATTTTTACAATCTTTTAATTTTCTTTCAAAAATAGTAGCTTTTTAATCTTTTTTTACATTCTATTATTTTTATTTTTCCTAATCTAAGTTATTAGATATTTTATTTTTTTTGGAGAAAAGCGTAGCAAAAGACCAAATTAAAGATAAGTTTTGAAAAACACAAGATTTCGGGCCGGAGCCCAAACCCAACAATTAAAAAAATCAGCCAACCACTCTATGTTTGTTCTCACGCACAAAGAGAAAAAAAAAAAAGAAGTCAGCGGCAACTTCTTCTTCGCGTGAAACCGGCGAAGCATTCAAGCAAATCTTCTCCAACGCCTCCCCACATTTATCGCTAGAATCAAAGCTTCAACTGGAATAATCTCAACGGGAAGAAACCTCTTGGCTATAAATTGAGAGGAATTGGACAAGAGTGGGGGGGGGGGGGGAATCAGA